GATAATGACACCAACAAATTGATTGATATCCGAATTCATAAACTTGATCATATTCAAGATTATATCACATATAAATAAACACAACAATGTATTTGCCTATCATTCACTAAGTTATGTAATCAATGCATAAAAGAAATGACAGCGTTATCGATAAGCATTAAATCACACAGTTTATTCAAGTATATCACTTTCATAGGGGATGGAGCAGAGTTTTCAATGAAAAAGATACAAGCTTTCCTCTCTTTTTTTTATCTCAAACAAATCACTCAAAAGAAAAAACAATTTAATAAACATTTCAGCTGAAATGTAAATTAAGTTTCAATTCATTTTAAGTTTATATATAAACACAAAATGAAACCAAACAAAACCAAAAACCACTTCGTTAAATGGTGCATTATCTCAATGTTTTTATTTATTTATTAAAAGCTAGTTCAAACATTGTTATATTGGGTCCCCTTCGATTAATAAAATAGTATGTAAACAAATTCTTTGAGAAGCTCTATTTTTCCAAACATTTTGAAGTGCACATTTACCTTGTTTTTATATCGCAAGAAAGATCATGTTTATTAGTTTCAGACTGAGAATAACTAATGAAAATCTTGTTGTAAATATTGATTAAATGTAATATGTAAATAGGTTATTTATTGTTTATGATTGATTTATAGTAGAGGTTAATTCAGAATAACGAATGAATAATTCTTTCATTATATTGTAACGGTTATTGAAACTTAAATGAATAGAGATATGGTATATTAATAGATCAGTTTAAGTTGAATCGTAGCTGCTACCTTGACATGATGATCTAGCTTCATATCGTGATGACTCCGTTAAGCTGGATTGTCTGGAAAATTTGTTTTCTTTAGATTCTACTTTACCAGATAATTTAGATGAAAAAAAGTAGGATGCAAAGCTCTAATTTAAGATCCGAGGGCGAAGCTATACTGCTAAATGTACATAGGTGTGACAATAGTGAGTTGTTTCCTTCATACAACCAGTAACAGCAATAATGCTACTTTCCTAGAATGCAAGGAGTTTAAAATGTCCACCCTAAAAGTATCCTACCTCATCTTACTCTATAAATTTTATGTACCTACGGTAAGATTTTTAAATTTCACAACTAACACATGAAATGTTTCTCACAAAACGATGGGTCCAAAGTAGTTGTCTTTTGAGCTCTGTAGTGATCCTCCCATGTTTTGAAGACCTCTCTTAACCCTAATTCGTTTCAGATAGCTTAGAAACTATCCTTCTACTATATGAGCGACTGGAAAGTGACAGATACCTTCAAACTTGCGACTGACTTATCATGAAATATGGGGACAACGCAATCAGTGTAATAATACTGAAGACCGAAAAAAATTAATATGACAAAAACGAGTAAACGGGATTAGAAGGAACTAACTAAAATCAGAAAATAGAAGTTTTTAGGGTAATATCGTGCTACAATGTTGGTTAAAGTTAAATAGTATGTGAATTCGCATGGCTAAAACCAACTTCTGACAATACCACTTAAAGTCTTTAACAACTGAACATCTTCATTTCGGAGACTACAACGAGGGTATATTCGCCAACTTAGTTGAATTCTGCTGATCGCAAACGAACCTATTCACCGGTTTTTCTCATCATTCTTCTGAGTCTATGCTACTTCATAGCCTACTTCTATGCTAAAAAATATTGGTCCATGAAGAAGTTACGTGGGAAGGTCACCCGTCGTTAGTAGAAGTTACCCTAACAGATCAGCAAAGTTAATTCCTGCAAAAACTTTTTCAACAGCCCTGTAAAACTGTAGATTTTGCCAACTAACTTCATTAATGAGACAAATTGGAAGTTTACAGTGTTAACACCATTGTCAGAAACAAGTAGATTGAATAGTTTCTTAGGAAAATTTCAGTTTTATAATGATTTACAATGAAATTTCACAGGTAGGATTATACACGAGATGAAAATATCATAAATGTATTCATTCATTCAAAACCTGAACGGCATTCAGAACTCATTCATCCAGGAATTAAAAGTAAGAATGGGTTCAACACTAAATGAGAGAATATTTATTTCAATACCTGGGAAACTAAATAGGTTATAAATCAATGTTAGTGATTGTTTGTGAATTACCTAAATGTGACTGAAACGGTGATCATTAATTTTAAAGTAATTATTTAAACGATCAATAATATGGTAAGTTATAAAATAGTAGGATTTACTGAAAATGAATATCCAGAACATGAGACTGAGACTCCAACAGATCAATTCGCTATTAATACCTAGAAAAATATTATTTGCAAAACGTTTAGTTTACATTTTTCCCTTTTTTTACTAATGAGGTTCAAATACTACTCACTATACACCTTAAAATTTTGAATATGCATGAGTCGTCAATCATTTTAAGATCTGTCAATATACTTGGAGTTAGCATTTTAAAACCAATTCTAAACAAATACTCGTTTATTTCTAAGGACTTAAAGTTAAGATATCACATAGCTACATCTTGAAACCTTGAATCGTTCCGGATTATTCAGTGAATGAAAAAAGCAACTTAACTATGAAGTAAATACAAATTTTATAAAAGATGGGTCCCTTCAAATTTTTAAAAACTCTTCAGTTCATATTTTAAACTTTAAAATCTATATTTAGAAAGGAAGTTGATTAAATTGAAATGAAACCCAACACACCCAAAAGTTTTGTATTTTAATCTTCTCACATTATACTCTCACTTTTGTTTACATTCAATTCGTTCGACCTTGTTAAATAAGTCACCTTGGTAACCTAGTGTAATTCAACTTATTATTTTAACAAGCTAGTATTTCATCGTCTATTTTCGTTAAATATCTTTTTATATTAAATAACCCTTAATTCTTATTAACCTTAGTAACCTCAGTGGTCTAGAGGCTAAACGTATGCGAGCAAGACTGAAGGCCCAGGGTTTAAGTCTCGCGTCAGGGATCGTACATGAGCACTGTTGAGGAGTCCTATACTAAGACCAAACAACCGTCCAGTGCTTCCAGATTTTCAATGGTGGTTCTATCTTATATTGACCAATGAATTTAACTATTAAAACTTTAACTATTGTTCATAATAAATTATGAATTTCATTTTCCGTTACTGGAGAAAATGTTACAATTATCTGAAATGATACTCCTTCAAAACACTAATATTGGGAAAAGGAAGACTTCTTCATTGAGTCTTGTTTACATTTTGTGACTTCATGGTAGTTTTACAGATTTATTTATTTAATTCATTGAAATAACATAGTATGATAATGTTACGAATTTTACATAGAATTCACCCTAGTTATTTAACTGATATTTATTACAATCTATTACTTGTATATGTCTATTTTGGTATTTAAATTTTCATTATTCTGTATTTGTTTTATCAACTGTATTGCATACCAGTTGTATAGTTGTGTTTTTTTTCCAAGAATATGATCAAGATCAATTAGGAATGAGGAATAAAAACTTCGGTGTTCAAATGCAACAAAATAAGTTTTTGTATTATGATAGTAGGTTTTTTCACTCAGAATCTGACTAGAAATTCTAGGATTTCTAAATTTAATGATAAAAATGTAACACGATCATTATAAATAGCGTGAATTCTAAGTTTTTTCCTGACAACGCGCTTAGATATTTACTACGATGAAGTTTTATCATAAGATGAAATAGTTATTTAATGCTACCTGGTTATTTAGCTAAAAACTTTATGTTATGTAAACTAACTTTTAAAAAAAAGGAATTTCATTTCACTTATATGGCGAGACTCTAATTTATGGACGAGCCAATTATAAGCGATTTAGAGATTTCAAGGCTACAGCGCCAACTTCAGTGCTAAATGCTAACGTACGATCGGTTCACAGGGAATTTTGCACAAAACGTGATAAGTGAGCGACTATAACAAATAAAACGGCGAGACTATAATTTTTGGACGAATCAATCAGGTATAAGATAATAGATCTCGGAATTTAACGCGAAAGCCTTTCATCCTTTTGGTTAGATAAACCCCTGGTATTATAGCTGATGTCATTTCGTGATTAAAACCACATATATAATTCCTAACTAAAGCAAATTATGACAACTATCGAGGACTGCATAATAAAACACCAGTAACACTGGTTGCAGCCAGCTATTACAATATATTCGGATGTTTGGAGAGCGTACAGACTCCTACATAGGCTCAGTTATATGCATCGTGTCGTTATCCACTAGTAGCATTTTGTGTACTCAACGGCCGAAGTACACATAAGCAAAATTGGAACTATGTAATCGAGGCTGAAAGAGTTCGTGAGACTTTATCATGGCTCCAGAGGCCGACTATTCTGTAGTCGTATGGATGATTTCCTTTACCACATGTTTTACGATTTTACAACCTCGGAACCTCTCTGTAACCTTGATAAGTTTTAGAACCACATGTAAGAAATGTATCCACTTTGTTTTCTTGGTTTTTTATAATATATTTTTACTCTGCACTGACTGTTTTGTGACTGGCTAATATTCTTCAAGGTCACTCAAGATTCGTTCAAAGGTCGTCCATAAATTAGAGTCTCGCCAATTATATTTCAAAAAATGTAGCAGTTTCACTCCAAAGATGTTCTGATTAGATGGCCATGAGTACAAAAAAATCAAAATCAAAATTGTAGCTGAATTTGTGAAGTATAGCAGGAATATAAAAAAATTTAGGCTGATTAAAATCAAACTAAATCTTACAGTACAATTAGATTAATAGAGCTACTCGGCGGATACAACTGCAAATTGTTTTTGATTAGACGAATTGTCGTCAGCAGTGAATTTTTGAACATGCGTTTCGTTCTTTTTAGGAGTCAGTTAACTACATCTATATACTAGTGTTGATTTTCACAGTTTCTAATACCGAAGTTACAATCACTCACAGCGTTTATTGATTTAGTATAAACATACACCAAGCTTTGTAACATCAAACCATGTCTTAACAGTATCTAGATTATTATATAGAAAATATTAGATTTTATAATTTTATTAATAACACACTACCTTCTGTAGTTGAGACCTGTTTCCTTTTACGTTCTTTTGAACGACTTGAACAACGTGGAATAAATCGAAGAAGTGATTTTTTTGGATAGATCCGTTCTGATTTACAACGTTCAAATGAATTAGAAGAAGGTTGAAGATTATCAAAGTTTGTTTCATGATTATCATCATGATTTGGTTTTTGATTTTCAGATTTTTTTCTACTAGAAATTCTTGACAAACTACGTCTTAATTTTGGTGATATATGACGTAGAAATTCTTTAATAATTCGACTACCTGTACTATTTGGTCGATTATGTGATTTGATTTGATTAGTATTAGTTAAAGATGAATCAACTCGCGATAAATGAGTTTTATGTCTTGAATCGGTAATTTTTGAATGATGTAAAGATGTTGAATTTGTTTGAAGAGTTGTTGTTGTTATTGTTGTATCATTTTTAGATGAACTAACATAAGCTGGATTAGAAACAATAGTTGATATTTCCAATGTTAAAAGTTGATCCAAATCAGCTTTAGGTAAATTTGATTCTGAACATGGACTATTTATTGATATTAAACCTATGGAATCATTTAAAAAGTAAATTATTGTCATTGATTTTAAAATAATTTTGATATAAATGAAGGATAAATTGCTTTCGTATCATTGTCTATTATTATAAGTTCATGTGATTATTCAAACAAAATATTTTAACAGTATACGGTCGTGGAGATCCCGTTTGCAAGATCGTGGGTGCGCTTTGCTGAGGAGCCCCACAATAGGACGAAACGACTTTTCAGTACTTCCAGGTTTTTAATGGTGATCTAACATCAATCGGTTCATGACCTTAATCAAAAACATTTTAATCCACATATTTTAGGTTCCATATGATGGAAATTTTATTTTAAAAAATGAAAGACAATCATTTCGATATTTAGTACCATTTTTTTTAAAAAATCGTATGTATTTTAACCAAGCAAACACTTAGTTACTAATTTCTATTATAACACGACTTTTACACATAAACTCTATATCTTCCTATACAACTTGTAAAATGATTTAAAATGTTGCATAAATTGGTAATTGGTAAGTTAAAAATATCAATCATCAAAATAAAGTCAAGCTAAAAATGATACACATGAAAGTCAAATACATTTACTGACACTAACTATCATAGCAACTAATTAGAACGTATTTCAATAAAGCATAAATTTGTACACAGGAAGCAAGAACATTTGATATTTTTTGTTAAGCTAATTGTTCCTCATAAAAAATCAGATCTCTTCAATCCACCAAGTAAAACAATACAAATGAAACATACTGATAATTTCCATAGTTAGAAGAATGTTAGATGAATGATATTATGATTACTGAATGACAAGAAAGTTTAATTGTTCTCGATTAACCATGGAATGAGTTCTAAACTAGAATGTAATAGATTTCAAATAATTCTTGGTCTTCAACAGTTTTTTTTGACTAATTTCATTTTCAGAATGAGTTTTGTGGAGATTTTAGTAAATTTCACAAGTTGAAATCATGAGTCAGTTGAAGCTAGACCACCATTGAAAACTTGGAAGTTCTAGTGAGAAGCCGTCACCAGTGGAGTTCAACCAGGTCTGTTGTGAGATATCAGCTCACTGAAGACATTGGTGTTCGATGGCGCAACTTCGTGGATTGGTTGAAGTTAGACAATAACACCGTTGGATGCCGGCTCAGTGGTCTAATGGTTAAGTGCTCGCGCGCGAAGCCAGTAGGTCCTGGGTTCGAGCCCCGCGTGGTGCGGGATCGTGGATGCGTACTGCTGAGGAGTCCCATACTAGGACGAAACGGCCGTCCAGTGCTTCCAGGTTTTCAATGGTGGTCTAGCTTCAACTGACTCATGATTTCAACTTGTGTAATTTCATTTTATCATGAAAATCATCTTCAAATTATAGAAAATCTACACAAAAATCAAAATAGTTTCAAATGAAACTTTCAGGAGGATCTACTAATTATTTTCAATGAATAATATTAACAGAAAATCGAAAACTGACTAAAGCAAGAAATGGAAATCATGGGATACCGATTCAGTGCTCTTAACGTCAAACCTCTATCAAAATACCTAATGTTTCTCGTTACGATCCTAAATGAGGTCATTGGACGCCTACTCAAGGACGAAACAGTTGCCCAGTACTTCTTGGGTGTTTAAATAAGGTCAACTCATGCGGTAAACTACAAAACTCCAAATAAATTCACAAATCAATAGATCCTAACACAGTAGTGTTTTTAAATATATATATATATATATGAACTAGAAAGATCTTTAAATATATTCAAGAAGCAAATAAGTGGATATTTAACTTACCATCAACATTACATTGTGAAGATAGTGAACTTTTACGTCCCATTCTTCTCTGATGATGTAATAATCCGATTTCACAAGCAATTCTATCAAGCTTCACTGTTAATTCTGGATCATTTTGATTATCCATGATTAATTTATCTGTTTGTTTATATTCAATTAATGATTCACATGTACTACTATTATTATATGGTTCACTATAATGATCTATTTCAGATAAATTAACATTATATATACAATGATCAGTAGAGATTACATTTGGTAATGGCATTGATGGTGATGTTGATAATTTATTGATTATTTTTCTTGTTGATATTTTTTGATTAGGTAATGAAATATAACCGATCATATTTAAATCATTACTATTTAAACTATCATCGGTTATTAAGTTTCTTTGAAGTGTCATTGTTTTTGTCTAAGAAAAAAGAGAAGAATAGAGCATTATGTAAGAGAAATGATTTCTTTAGAACTAAACTAACAAATATAGTTTTTATTGATGACACAGTCTAACCTAACTTAAGTGATTTATAGTAACAACATCATAATGGTGTTATATCAGGATTACTCGTGCTTCTGGCTGCTTACGGAATATAGTTCCCTGTTTCGAACTTGATTAGAGCTCTCTTGAATGTATCCACAAATATTTCTACTTGGCCGTTTGATTGTGGGTTGTAGGGTGGAGAGCGGGAATGCTTGATGGATAGCCGTTGGCGAAAATCTTGGAACTAAGTTGAGGTGAACTGCGAACCATTTTCTGATACAATTACGTCCGGTAACCCGTTACGGGCGAACATCTCCGTCAAAAGTTGTATCGTTTTGGTAGTCGTTGGTGGTGTGATGTGAACAATTTCTAGCCATTTCGAAAAGGCATCAATCACGACTAGACAGGTGGTTCCATTAATTGGACCAGGAAAATCGACATGTATCCTAGACCATGAATACTCAGGCTGTAGCCATGGTACAGGCGGAACTTTCGCGATACATTTCGCCGCTTGCTGACACTGCGTGCATTTGTCTACTAAATCAATGATATGTTGGTCCATGAGAGGTCAATACACATAGCTTCTGGCGATGGATTTCATTCATTTTATATCAAGATGACCAGTGCGAAACTGCTTTAGCACCCTTGATCGTACAGAGGTATGGTCGGGATTGCTAGTACTTCTGGCTGATTGCGGAATATATTTCCCCATATTGAACTTCGACTTCTCTTTCTATTTAGCGGGGCTGGGACGCATCAGAATAGCTACCTTATTGACCTTTTGTCACAGATTCTTCGTTTCGTTCGCAGACCAGGTGAACTCGTAATCTCGTCATTCGACTTATTTAATTCCGTTATTAACTAACGCGATCTAAGTCGATGATTATATACGAGGATAGTCAACATATATATTTCAATAACAATCATTCATGCGATTTACTTGGAGTCAGATCTCCGGGCCACTGAATCGTATACAATTACATATATGTAATATTGAAATTCTTTAAAAGTGACGGATAGAAAGCTTTATACAACTACTTGCAAAAATTTACATTACTTAATACTTAAATACGTAGTTAATATTCATACTGTATTTGTATTTAAAGAGTGGTATAAAAGTAGACAAGTAACTATTTAGGAAATATATAAGTATATTATTTAGATCCATAAATTAGTTTGATTGAATATTTGTGGTAGGATTGTTAATAATATGAAACATAAGATGCATTCAAAACACTTGATCACAATGAACATTATTGTAGAGTTATTCACAAGATATACACCTACATTGTAATCAGTCTAATACGGATAGGCATATATATGTATATAGTGAAAATTTCCATTTTGACATTTGGTCAATAAAGGAGGGACGAATCGAACGAAGAAATTTTTTAAAATTTGTTTCTCATCATGGCTCTATACTAATATATATATGATTAACAATAATGATGTAATACTCATTGAGTGGATACGTCATGTAATAATTGTTTAATAACATATCGATTATATAGTTACTACGTAACAAATCCACTCAATGATTATTATTTCATAATTGTAAGTCATATATATATACATAATTAAAAAGTAATTTCGCCGCTCGATTCGTTCCTACTTTCTATATAAATTGGTTTAAAAGTAATTATGGATTGTATAATAATCTAAATATTGGTCAAACTGAAAAGAAAAAAAAAAGTTGGAAACACTGAAAAATCATAATAATCCATCAGTCATTATGGATTGACACAGAACTGTAAAAAATTATTATTATTATTATTGTTGCGAAGGCAACTATTTATCTATTAATTCACTTTCTTCAATAAATAATAAATAAATGAACCAACAACAACAAAAAAAGAACATCAAGTAAATAAATTGAATAAGATAAATAGTTTGAAATCAATTATAAAAGATAGTTTATAAGAATGTATGAATGGTAAATATTGGGTATGAAATTATTATTATTACTATTATTATGATTATTATGATTACTATTATGAATATTTGTTTGTATGTACATGTGATCGAAGAAAATAAATTGACAGTGAAAGGTATTTTGTTGTTGTTGTTGTTGTTGGTAGAGCAACTATTTCAATAAAAAATTTTCAGTAAATAAATCAATGTAATATGAACAATCTTAATGATTTTTTTAATTTTTAATCCTTGCCCCCCCCTTTTTTATGGTTTGTTTACTTTTAAGATTGTTTTCTTGATAAATAATATGACAGATAGATTAAACGGTACAAATCTTTCATAAAGTAAATTGTTTTTAAGTGAACATACTTTATAACCTAGAAAAGTTATAATCACTAAATTCAACATATTTAGAAAAAACCAGTGATTATTATCAGAATGGAAGTTTGTAGAGATTGTGGTAATTTTAATAAATGAATTCATGAATTGTTCTAAGCTAGACCTATCATTGAAAACCTGAAAGCACTGGATGGACATTTTGTCTTAGTATGATAGTGCAAACTCATAGATTGATTTAAATTAAACATTAACACTATTGGATGCCAGCTCAGTGGGCTACAGGTTTAGCGTACATGCGTGAAACGGAAGGTCCCGGGCTCGAGTCCCACGTTAGGGATCGTACATGAGCACTGAAGAGAAGTTCCATACTAGGGTGAAACGGGGGCCCAGTGCTTCCAGGTTTTCAATGGTGGTATAGCTTAAATCGACTCAAGAATTGCACCATTAAAAGCCAATGGAAAAAGTGAGAATGAATAACAACTGAGATGGTGGAGGTTTATTGTTCAAGCGGATGATTTTGATTGAGTTCTATCGACAAAATAAAGAAGTATATAACAGAAATTTAAGATGAATAATGACCATCCAAGATCGAGGTTGACAAAACAATCTGTAGGTCCTATGTAGAGAAATTTGAAAACTCCACTTTCACTCAAACTTTGTTCTTATGATGTTGTTCATAAGAATAATGAAAGCTCCACAACCAAACCATCCAGCCCAAAGAACAAAACTCTACCAGAAACAACAACCGAAGCAGATTGTTAAATGAATTTATATTTCATGAATTATCTTTAAATGAATACACCATTAGATTTTATTGAAATGTAATTCGATATATTAGGAGAAGACATTTTTTCAGTGCCAATTGATATTCCAAATAGGGATATTCCACGATATATACCCCAAATAACTGATTTATAAACTTTCGATACCACGTGACATAAATATTACTGAAAACCCTTATCATTTCAGTTATTCCAAGACATTATTTTTGATTATGGAATAATACTCCCTTTCTCAGCACAAAAATGTTATGGGCAATCAACCAGAATCTCTGAAGTATAATCAATCTCTTATAATCCACTCCGGTTGTCGTTTCGTATTTCTTCACGTTTTTAAAGAAAACAATTTATATAACCATCACCATGGGGGGAATTGTGGAGATTTTTAAATGTTATTGAGACCATGAACCAGTCAAAGTTAGATAACTAGTGAGAACCAGGAATCATTGAACAACTGTACCGTCCTGGTATGGGACTCTTCAAGACTACGCATCCACTACCCTAATGAGGATTGAACAAAGGAACTTGGTATCTTGAATCGAGTGCCCAACTTCTGGACGACTGAGATGGCATTGTGATGTACGTTAATTATGCTGACAGTTATAAGTAGTGTGTAGCACCAGTCGGAAGCCGAATTCCTGGTAGCAAAAGATTGAAATGAAGTGAAGAGAAAGGAAATCGGAAAGGAAATAACAACAGAATTAGAGAAATAATGAATTACGTAAAGGAAAACACAAAGATGTGAAAATGATGCAGTTAATGTATGATTTTCATATTTCACTGAGCAACTGATTAATTTGCATTAAACAATAAGTTAGTTTTCTATACCAAGTCTTTTGTTCGCTACAGCATCACATGGTGTAGACAGTGTATAAAACCAATAAAAAAATATGGCTTATGAGGGAAAATAATATTTTTTTCATTTTTTAATGGAATAACGATCATCTGTCAATTGTACAACTTATATAGTCTCCTTGAGACCTAACAATTTACGTGATGGCAACTGTCGAGCCGCTTTGTAACGTCATATAATTGAAATAAAAAGAGAAGGAATGTTTAAATCCAGTGGAGACCTTTACAATCTTTAAAAAAGACAACATTATTTTATAACACGTCAGTAATCAAGATGTACAAGTAAAGTGATAAATTAAAAGATATAGTAGATAGTGAAGGAAAAATAAACATCGCTAAGACAGATAGATATTTTGGATACACGATTTATTTTTGGCATGCATTCCCATCATTCTTCAACATCTAGTCAATGGGATAAGCTAAATTCTATGACAAATAGCTAAAATCGTGCTTTTGCAATTGCCAAAAAAAAACACCAGTAAATCAAGAAACTACACAATTTCGATGACAATATATATTTTATCCAGTTACATATCTACTACATAGATATCGTCTAATTAGTACTCTAAAATTTGAATCCAGTGAGTATATTGAAGGATTCGATTGTATTATTAAAAATTTGTGTCTACTTAAGAGTGAGCAGTTTCATGTGAAATATCTTTCTTGAATTCATTCTTGACTTGTAGGTTTATGAATCACAATAATAAGTAAAATGATACTATTTAACACATTTTGGGATATCTCTTCTAAATATCTTTCAGAGATTGAATTACAAAAACGTATTCATAAACAGAATAAAATTAATCTACTGAATAGGAGGCTAAACTGTCTATTATCGAATGTAAAGAGTGGTACTTTTTTTAGTTCACTGTAACTCGGGTAACCATTAAGCATATTATTGAATAAAAACAAAGAATATATATAAACCGTATAAAATTACTAATTTCCGGGACCGTAAAATATTTTATCGCTAATATCAAGAAAAGCTGGGTCATTCACATGGTACTCCTCCCTATTCAGTAGGTCAAGCGTGAATTGCAAGATCACGCGGTCTTACTATCCTTATAACATGATCAATAATATTCCTGTTAGAAAAATATCTACAAAATACATTTGAAGTAACCACTCAACGCAACTGTTATTCACCACACATTGTAAAATATTGTTTTTGGTTTTTTCATACTAACATCTTACCTTAAGCAGGCTAACTAGAAGAAGATGTCTACCATTTTACCCTGTTTACGAGTTATGTATGTAAATTTCAATTTTCCTGAAGATCTCAACTTTTCTAGGAGGAGCATTCCAAGCTTTGAATGAACTTACTAAGAATTATTTATGGTAGTCAATAAATAGAGTTGCTTCAAGTAGATTTCGGAATAATCCATTTACCTCTTTAAAAATTTACAAAAATGTTGTCGTGTAATTAACTGGTATTCATACAGATGTTATATCAAATAACGAAAAAGACCCATTTTGCCATTAAAGAAGGATAGAGAAAATTCAGCGATGAAAATTTTCTTACTAACGATTTCATTTACTTAAACTGTACAATTGTATCTATACAATTACTGCTGAGGAGCCCCATACTAGGACGAAACGGCCGTCCAGTGCTTCCAGGTTTTCCATGGTGGTCTAGCTTCAGCTGACTCATAATTTCAGCTATTGAAATTTTATTTATAGCTAAGTTGTTTACTAAAGATAGTCTGCAGACTACCCCGTTGGGATCGGCGAGACGATAGCAACCGATGGTTAGAGACCCTGAATGATATGGTTCAAAATGGTTTGCACTGATGCAGGTGCATCCACTCTTTGTGTTCTCCCAAATTTTAATCTTCTGAATTCTTTATGTCCCTTTCCTTTTTTCTCTTTCCAAATTTACTTCACTGGATTATACTCCTTGAATAACATCTTCAAACCCTAATCTTTCGGATTATTGCTTATAGTTTTACTACCTCTACCACCATGTGATTTGAAATGACAACTGCATCTCTGCGCTGATGTGGTATGGCGACTCGAACTGATATATGTACATACGAAGTTCTACGTTGTTACTGAATGACTGACTGCGGAAAAACAAAATGGTGTTGAGTAATTCTATAAAGGTAGAATGGTGTCGTTCGCGAAAATCAGAAACTGAAAGGAAGTTATGTGATAATAAAATGGTTAGTAGAAAATTTTAGGATAAAGATAATTGCTCACTTGACAAATCTTAAGAATGGAATAATTAACTGTTGTAATAATGGTTAACTTAGATATTAGAAAGGAGTAGTAAAAGACGGTGGGTTATAGAAAATAGAAAGGAAGGCTGGGACTACAATAGAGTGAAAGAGCATGTTGTCTTTGTACACTTAGATTAGTCTTGAATTGGTGGATAGCTAGAGTCTTGGTTGTATACGAGTTTTTAGTTTGTATTCCTTTAGAAACAACTTCTCTAATTGTGTATATGATCTCGAAGGAGGATTCTAGCGAAGTTTAATCAGAATCCAATGATTATCTAAAGTTGATCTTACTTCTAAGTTGTAGTCTTAACCTACTGATTTCTTCGAATTGAATGAACAATTTCTTATATGGTTTAGCTATCATCAGACATAAGGAATTTCATTTATGCGCTGACTAAATAAATAAGTTAACATCAGGTTTTAATGAGGCTTGTCATGGAACTTTAGTCATTCATCCATTAATTCAATTCAACTTACTAATAAGCTAATGGTTACTAGTATATTCGATCACTGCTGTCTTGTGATGACTAGAAAAGTGTATTTATACCTTATCCTTAATTTTCAATTACTTTCAAGATGGATTTTCTAGGGTTCCAGTAAGAAGCCGTGATCAGTGGAATCTAATTCATGTCGAGTGTGAGACACTTATCTACCACAAACAATGGATGAAGAGTTGTGCAGGATCATGGATCGATTGAAGTTAAACATAACCACCGTTGGATGTCAACTCAGTGATCTAGAGGTTAAACACCCACGCGCGAGACCGAAAATACTTGGTTTGAGTCTTAGTTGCGGAATCATGGATATGCACTGCAGGGACAAAATGGCCATCCAATTGTTCCATGTTTTCAAATGTGTTCTAACATTGATCAATTCATGATCTCAATCAAAACTTAACAATCTCTACACTCCTGATACTTAATACTTTCAAAAGAATCTTAATTTTTCATGAACTAATAATTTTTTTTCTCACAATTTAACTAATCAATCAATCAATCAACTCACATGAGTTTCTATGCCTGATTGAATACATAATCTTGTTCTTGGTCTTGAATCAATTAATTTAATTTCTGGTTTTAAATTGATCTCATTTTCATAATTTGATCTCATTTTTTGTTGCTGATGTTGTTGTCTATTCATATTTTTATTAGAATTTTTATGTTTATTTTTAACTGAACGAAATGAATTTGCTTTAAATGGATAAACATATTGTTTTTGTATTGGTGTATTATCATCATTATCTTCAGTTAGATTTATATTATGGTTGATATATGGATTTTTTTGATGATTAACAAAAGTGATCATTTTCTCATTAGTTTTATTCTTATTCATTTCAATTTGTTCATTAGTTGATAAATGATCTCCTGGATCAGTTATTGGTGTTTTGATACATGAGTCCTAAAGAAACAAAGAAAGAAAAATATTAGAAACTGTTTATGAAGCTTTTAAAATGGCGAGACTATAATTTATGGACAAGCCAATCAGAAGCGTGAGTGGGATTTCAAGGTTATGGTGCCAATTTCAGTACTTGATGCTCATGTACGATCGATTTACAGTGGATTTTAGAGAAGACGTGATAACTGAGCGGCTACTTTTGTGGCCCTTTTGGTGTGACTCCATTTAAGAGCGTACGAATGTTTGTTATGGCCTTTTCTCGCATATCATAGTCGACTTAAATCACGTTAGTCAATAACGGAATTTAGATAAGTCAAATAACGAGAATTGACTTGAGAATACATATATTTCGTACATGAAGCGAATGAAGCATAGCAAAGCAAAATGACACATATGGAAGATGGCTGGGAAGCCAACTCCATCTTTGTCAAGCGTTACTCAATATTTATAGTCAGACAAAATAAAGCTACAGACATATGATTAATAGGATAAGAATGGCACACACATATACGCTCATATAAAAACAGTCTAGATTGATAAGCGAATAAATAACAAGGTCAATGTATGGCTCAAGTAAAATGAATAGAATGGGATGTCCGAAAGCTTAAATAAGGTATATGGGCTTGGCATAATAACTGACACTACAGCTACAACAAATGGGACTATTAAGAAGATTCTTTATTTGTGGCTGCAGTAATCAAATTGACGAAACGGTAGTCAGGATGCGAGAATTTAACAAAGGACATAGTACTAAAGAAGGCTGGGTAAGTAGCACTCCCATAAATATACCTCACACGTCCTTAAAATTTACTACAGGTCAACGCAAAAGGGACACTTCCAAAGGGTCAGAAACCGACAGGTAACGACAATAATACCAATTATACCGGAATATGTGCAACCAGGCACTATAATATACACAGATTATTGGAGAGCATATTGGTGCCCGCATAGACTTGGTTATGTGCATCATGTCGTCACCCACAAGCGCCATTTTGTGTACCCTACAACCGGAGTACACACTAACAATATTGAGGCTATGTGCTCGAGGCTGAAGGAGTTTTTACTACCTTATCATGACTCAAGAGGCCGACTATTATGGATTTATATGGACGAGTTTCTCTACCGTATGTATTACGATTTCAGAACCTTCGAACCTCTTTCTAACCTTGACAAGTTTCCGAACCATTCAAAAAATTGTATCTACTTTAATTTTATGGTTTTTTATATAATATATTTTTACTTCATTACTAACTGTTTTATGATTGACTATTATTTGTCAGAGTCATTTAAGATTCGTTCAAATGTCCTCCATAAATTATAGTCTCGCCGAATTTAGCTGTATTTTCTACAGCAAATTAATATTATTAAATGTTAAAGAGAGAAACTTTGTGACACTGGGGAAAAACATCTAATTGAGTTTATTTAAACTGTTTGTAGTTAAAATGTATTGTATTTACTGTTATATCTAGCGTATCTACACATATTCACGACTCAATTCATTAATTTAGTTAAAGTGAATATGACAATGGAAACATCATATAAAACTATGAAAAGATAAATTGACTGTGGATAAAACAGTATCTATTCATCTTTTTTATATGCATATTTATTTGTGTAAATATACCGCAATATATGATGAAACACTAATGTGTGTATTGAGTGCTTCAGTTTGTTTCATGTCTATATTTCACAACTCATATATAAAAGGTTTGAGATCCTCAGAGATATCTTCGGATATTACATTCTTTTGTAAACTAATGATTTTACATATCTTCAATTATCTTTATTCGTTCATACAGATTTCTCATATACAACTTTTGGAGAATATACAGACTGCCTTCAGACAAAATGTGATGTCTTTTTTTTAAACTGAAATCCCAGGGAAACTTGATATAAACGATAAACAAAAACATACTACCTCTGTCACCGTTGTTCTGAAAGCCATCAGTTTTAAATAAAAACAAGCTTGAATAAACATATAGTTCTACTCAATTAAATATTGTTGTTTTTATCTAGTCACCAAGCTACATCTTAATAAGTTTCATCCTTAAATTTGAATGTTTATAATAGTAAGTGTAACAATCACACAAGTTACTATAACATTGAAAATCAATTATAATATGGATCGAAACAAATTTAGTATCCATATCGATTGGTTCACAGGCAAATAATGATACCTGAACGTTACACGTAGTCAATTACTGGGCTATGTTTATGTCTTTGATGAACCGCCAACAGTAAATACAATATACACAGTTTTTTTGATAACTTGTACCAGATAAGTCGAACAAGATATTGTAACACCTACATCATATTTCAATTAAAATACTGTGTACCATTAGACGGCCGATTTGCTATAAAAGTATTTATCAGTTTAATAAGAAGTAAAAGAAAATGGTCATCGTTACAACTTATGTTTTCACTCCTTCTTTAGAGAAAAATTAAAACTGTCAGTTATTACTTTTTCATTTTAAACTAAGAGAGAAATCATTATTAATGACATGAATAATACTTCTAAATTATACATGATTTACAAAATTATGGAATTCATTCAAATTATTAGTTATATGCATGAACAGTCAGCCAGGTAAGTTCTTGTCAATCCGTATTTCTGTATTTTGACTAAGAAAACATTCTTACCTCTGGATTTTATCATAACTTAATAAATTATATTACTTATTAGTTTACAGTCTCGGTTACAATGGGCATGTGTGAGATAATCATGATAATGACCTAACTTCAAAACATATGTAGGACCTTATATATATTCTACAACGAATTGTTAAAAAAAATCCATTCCAATTGTCATTATTACCAACGAAAATACCCAACTAAGACAAGCGGAATCAAATGTAGGCGGTTTAGCACTTATTTTTTAAAGAAACTTTTACTTTTAATGAAACATTTTGATAAATTTGATTGATTAAAAGTCACCACATGACTGCTATCAGCCAATCATTTAATATTAGTCATATAGTCATTAACAACCTAGCTTCATTTATCTAGTTACAATATAAGTAGTCTGTTCAGGAAATCTGCAAACTTTGGTCGTAGAAATTTTATTTTATAAAACAGAGGCGACAATAGTCTTATTTCTTCAAAGTACTTCAGATTTGTGGCAGTAAAAGTTTTTTTTTAAATAACTTCAAAGTAGCTTGGAAGGTTCTGATTTATCCACTTTTTATGTCTACATGTTGTCCCTCTGCCTGATTATATGATGAGTCTGTGTGATTAGTAGCTACGATAATCTAGCTTGGTGATTGTATTACTGACTAGGAACTAGCAAATAATTGCTAATTAATGTACAGGTGCCCTAGTCACTCATAAGTATCACATAAATTTCATCGCACACAATCTCAAACCCTTGGAAACCTACACGTAAAAGACAACACTGACTGTGTCTTTCAAAAAAAATCACACGGTAAATAGTATCATTATATCACAAAATTCAATGTCTAGTTCACATAAGTATTGGGTGTGTTAGAGTTATTCACTCCAGAAATAAGGACGGGAACTTCAAAAACAACATAACTAGCCCTTGCTTTACACAAAAGTCAGCTGTTTGTATCAGTCCATTTGTGCTAAACACTGTGTTTTGACTTGCTTGCTTCAAAATTACTGAGTTTGGCAGTTTTTTCAGCTTCGTTTTTATATTCACTGCTTACTGTCGGTTTTTGTTGATTTATCGCCACAAAGCCAGAGCACATTTTTCCAGAACACTAAGGAAGATATTGTCCTGTTGTCCATATTAAACTAGATGAGTTCCAACTTAACTCCGCCTGGAGTCAACTTAACTCGGCCTGGAGTCCCTCCGGGGGCTACTGCCGCTCCCAAGCCCGGATAAAGAAGGAGGGTTGGGCATGGGGTTAGCGTCCCCATCCCGTAGAAAACTAACTCGCTAAAAAAACGCTAACCAGAAAAAATTATTCAAACCTTTTAAACTCTGCCCTGGGAGTCAGAAGATCTTCATTTAGAAGAATTATGACGCCTCATGATGAAAGCCGAATTCCTTCGTAAGTTACGAGGCCGATGCCCCTTCTGAAAACCAGAGCAACCATTTATTTAGGTACATGGAATGTTCGTACAATGTGGGACACCGGAAGAGCCTTCCAGATTGCTGCAGAAATGAGAAGATACAACCTAGAGGTACTTGGGATCAGTGAAACACATTGGACACAAGTTGGACAACAACGACTAACTACAGGAGAGCTCCTGTTATACTCCGGCCATGAAGAAGAAAATGCACCACATACACAAGGAGTTGCATTGATGCTGTTCAAACAAGCACAAAATGCACTTATAGGATGGGAATCTCATGGACCAAGGATCATCAAAGCCTCGTTTAAAACAAAGAAAGAGGGCACTTCAATGAACATCATCCAATGCTATGCGCCTACCAACGACTACAATGAAGACGCTAAAGATCAATTCTACAATAGGCTGCAGTCAATCGTCGAGAAGTGCCCAACAAAGGACCTGACCATTCTGATGGGAGATTTCAACGCCAAGGTTGGAACGGACAACACTGGATATGAAGACATCATGGGACGACACGGACTGGGAGAAAGAAGCGAAAATGGTGAGAGATTTGCAAATCTATGTGCCTTCAATAAGCTGGTCATAGGCGGCACCATATTCCCACATAAACGCATACACAAAACCACATGGACTTCACCGGATCACTCTACACAAACCCAAATCGACCATATTTGCATCAACAAAACGTCCAGGAGGACTATAGAGGACGTGAGAACCAAGAGAGGAGCTGATATAGCATCAGATCATCACTTACTGGTCGCCAAGATGAAATTGAAACTCAAGAAGCACTGGACAACGGGGCAGACAGTATCACAGAAGTTCAATACGGCCTTTCTCCAGGATACTAACAAACTCAACAAATTCAAGATAGTCCTCAGCAACAAGTTCCAGGCCTTTCATGATCTACTCAATGGAGAAGGAACTACTGTGGAGAACACCTGGAAGGGGATCAAAGAGGCAATCAC